AAATGTATTACCTTTTAAGTCATGATCCCTTCCAAAAAAATACTTATGACCACCAAGTTAACTTTTTGCCATCTTCAAATAAAGTTGTAATGAAAGTATGTCATTTATACTATAAGATTAGGATCTAAATTTGTTTCATTATTGATCTTTTTATAAATAAATAAAAATGTTGTTAAATGTATATTCGTCATAGAAAATAGAAGCTAATATTGTTTCAATTACGGAGTTTGAAAGCTACTAAGAACATGGTTGATATTTATAAACAAAATGTTGATGACGATAATATTTAGTTCTCTGTCATCTTTTCAAAAATCTGACAATACAAAATGCAAAAAAATAATAATATGGAAATCTTAAGTAAATTTAAACTTTTATTGTAAGTGCAAGACTTATTCTTGATAGTTTTTGAACTTCGGTTAATAAATTAAAAGTTAGTTAAAAGTTCATTGTCATTCTTTGTAATTACTCATTGATATTTCAACATATATCCCATATAAACTTGTATCAAATTTTGGACATTCGAAACATATAATGAAATGTCAGTACAACAAATCAAAAGATCACAAGTCGAACTTATTAAGACAACACAATGCAAAATGTATAGATAAGCAAGTGTATAAATTTGTTCTTTGTCATGCTTTGACCTTATAATCGTCTAACGAACCTTCACCATAATCTCCCTTCTCTCGATAGGTTTTACGAAAAGTTTTAGATTGAAATGATTGGTAGAGCGGAGGATTAGAATCGTCAACGAGAATTTTTGCAGGTTTTACGATACTATCTGGTTTTGGATTGATTGAGAAGACAATTGATATTCGATGATTGGATGAGTTTGTTACCACTCTATGTGCTGGACTTGTTAGCTTCCCGTTGCTAATAACCTATAATATATTTAAAAAAAAATTCACGAGAAATAAAAAGGACAAACCCTACTCAAAAAGCCAAATAACTAAATACCATACAATAAAAGTTATAAGCAAAATGAATATAGGTTATGGTTAAATCAAGATTAATTTTACTAGCATTTTCAATGAGAAGAAATATAAAAATACCTGTATTTGTTGACCAAGGATAACAATAAAGCTTTTGGGAGTGGGCTTAACACCAAACCATTCTCCATTTCTGTACACTTGAAGCCCATATATTGCATCTTGTAGAAGAAATGTTATGAGAGTAGGATCACGATGTTTGGGTAGGCCTAATGCCAAATTTGGGTTAGGACATGCTGGGTAGTGATTCGCTGAAAAAATTTGGGTCCCAGTGAGCCCGTCTCCGAAATAACCAGGCCCAAGCCCAAGCCCTTCACCTATTAGCTCGAGAATCCTTGTTGACAAGTTACCCATTTGAAGTGAATATTTCATAATAACATCTCTTCAAAAGAAAGTAAGGATTTGTTTAGAAATAATCATAGAAAGTGTTCGGATTATGGTAGTATAAAGTTGTAATAATAAATTTCTAGTTTTTCGAATAGTAATTCTAATGGCAGTAGTCTCATTATTGATAAATAATTATTTTATATCCGTTGATTCAAAACTGACTACTTATCCTATTTAAAAGATTTTTGACCCACCATTTTGTTGTTAAGTTTCTTAAGAAATACTAATCATTGTAACTATAGCTGATAGTTTATTTTTTCAAAATAAATCTTTGAAAAATCTTTTCAGTTTTAATTAATCGAAGTCAAATACAAACAAAAGAATGATTAACTTTACCGATATCTAGCTGGCTTTTGAGGCCACAGATGAATGAAGTCATCAACAGGATGACATTGGTGGTGTAGATTATCTCGCCACAAATGAATTTTTTCAATGTCGTAGTCGTAAGTACTGGTACATAGCCTACATTTTTTGTTTGCGTCTTCTGAGAAAAGATCCGCTTTTTCCTCATTTGGCATGTCAAAAAACTCCTTGACAACTATCATTGTGTCAATCAGCAGATTTTCATCAACTCCATGGTTGATCACCTAGTTTCAAATTTGTCGTTTCAGTGTTAGAAAATTAACATTATCAAAAAACAATATTATAAAATGAGGAAAAAGACAAGATTTGTAAAAAACAACAGAAAAACCCTAATAATTCATTTCCAAAAAAAAGTCTGGGCGGTGGGAAAATTATCTATTAGGCCCGATCCTTCTGGGTGCATCTAAGAAAAATAGTCATGAAAACACCTAATTGGGCTTCTTCAAGTAATGAAGTATATAAGTGAAACTTGTTCACTTTTCTTTAACATTGTTATTTTGTTCTAACGAATTTACTCGATTTGTTAGAGATTACATGTTTTTTTTAACCTTCTTAACTATATACAAATTGTCAAACCTGAAAGAATCCAAAGTCATGACAAGCTTCTAAAACTTGTTGAACTGCATGGTGTCGACTAGTGTGGAGGTCGATCACAGGGATAGTGTTGCAAAAAGGCACCATAGCATTTCCAGGCCTTGATTCAGCAGGAAAAATGTAACTTTCTGGCAAGGATTTAATGTTAGAAGACCAGTTTGAAAGAAGCTTATGCATGTCTAACGTGTAGGTTGGTGTTATCGTTTGTTCTTTTACAAATACCAAATGCCATGCTAATTTATATTTGAAAAAAGGTATTGTTAGTTCGTACCATGTGAATTATCCACTGTGTTAGTTCCTATATTCGTCGTTGTTTTATCTAATCCTACCAAACGTTGTTTCATTACACAAATAAGGATTGATGTTTTAAAGCCCAACTAATTTCCAAATGGATATATCTTAAAAGGGAATAAAACGTAATTTTGGCACATTAGTAGCTTGGTACGTCACTTCTAGTTGGATGCCAAAATCATATATTCAGAAAAGAATCAAGTGGTTGGAGCCATGGGAATACTTCTACGATTAGTGCTGACGTTGCAGTTTGTATTAATAGTCTAAACACCAAGAAGACGATAACGTTGATTACTTGTTATATTAATTAAGAACCCTTTTTGAGGAAAGTTGTATGAATTTATGTTGCTTGATGCTAGAATCAAAAATCGGTCAGCTAGAGTCTAATCTTTTGTTATAAAATAAAACCAACAACACACCAGAAAAACCAATTAGATAGGAACAGACAGAATGGGTTTTGTAACCAATGCTTTGACCTATAAACTACAAGAAAACAAGACTAGCGACGACAAAAATTACCGCTAAAACTTAGCTTTATCGCCGGTAAAAGTAATAGCGGCGACATGTCGCCGCTAAAGAGTTGTCGGTACTGTCCCGTCGCTATAACTGTGTCACCGACAATACCAACTGTCGTCGCTAATAATTATGTCGCCGGTAATAATCAGTGTCAATGGTATTATTATTATTATTATTATTTAAATAAGCCCTTTTCGGGTGCAGAAAAACTGGTATGTAACGACATTAAATGTAGAAAACACGAAAACATTAAATGCAGAAAAATATTACATAACGACATCCAATTAAGTACCAAAGTGTTATAATTCAATACAAATACCAAAATAAACAACAAAAATGTTATAAAGTTATGTCATAACAAGTCTAACAAAACACAAACTAATCCGACGAATCATCATCTTCGCTCCCCTCGTTTCTTCCTTGATCATCACTTGGTGGTTTTCCCGAATGAAAAAACGCATAAACTTCTTCCCTACACATCGGGCCGTTGAGCATTGCACGAAGATTTTCCAACTACATAATAAAAAACAACATATATAAACTTATAAGTTAAACTATCAACATAAACAAAAACTACCAAAGTAGATTGCTATTTCTTGCACTTAGGACATAAACACAATTACCAAATCAACATGTATTTATTGATCATTATATATATATATATATATATATATATATGAGACCATTTTAAATTTTGTGAAACATGAGGACACAATCTTAGAAATCAAAATTTTAAAAACAAAATTTATAAAATGCAAAGTAAAATGAAAAATCTGAAAATTCTTTTTTTTTATAAATATTATTTTCGTCATTTAATTACCCAAAAAATAAAAACAAAAAAAATATTGTTTTTTGGAAATATATGTGAAATATTCTAATATAGGATTACAATGTAAATGTTCAAATAGAGTTCTTAGAATGTTAAAATGTTCTACTATTTTACTCGATTTGTTAGATATACTAATATATTTAAATATTCTATTAAAATTGTTAAAATATTCTATTATTCTATTAATCGTTTGAATATTTATAATCTAATATTCTAATAAAGTATTTGAATATTTTAACAATTTTGTTTTAATATCTATATTGTAATATTCTATTAGAATATTTCACGTATATTTAACTAACAGTATTTGTTTCTTATTTTTTTAATTTTTGTTTAGTTTTATTATTATTTTTGGATAATCTAAATGAAGAAAATAATGTTATAAAAAAACTCAAAAATTTTCATTTATTTTGCATTTTAAAAATATGTTTTTTTATCTCTAAAATGAATAGTTAGGATTGTCCTCATGTCTTACAAATACTTATGGTCTTAAATGAACCTAATGTAACACTCCAAATCAGGTAAACCATTTTAATCCCTTTAAATAGTTCAATTGGCAAAAATGGACCCTTTTAGTACGTTGGGCGTACCTAAGGGTACGCTTAGCGTACCATGGAGGAAGGATCGCGGAGGAGTTTCGCGTACGCGAGGCGTATGCGACAGAGGACCAAACCCTAATTTCCGGACTTAAGACCTATATACATGCTTCAGCTATTTGCAGTAGCTTGTGCAATTAAGCCAAGGTGGTCTCAGTGTTGTTCAAATGATAGGTCAGGATGAACTGATCATAACAACTTGGTAAGGATTTTAGGACTATATCAATAGCCAACTCCTCATCAAAGTGCACATTAGACTAACAAGGCGCTCCATGTATCGTTGCATTTTCTGCATGTGGCCACATACAGATTCTCCCTCTTTCATTTTGCATGCCATGAGGGCTTTGACCACCTCGTATTTTTTTGACGAGCTCGCTTATGGAACTTTCCCACAAGGTCCTTGTTCATCTCATACGGCCAGTAGTCTTCATAAAATCTCTGCAACTCAGGGGTCATAGTAGCGACCATGATGCAAGCAACTTTTGTTGCATCATCGTAATGTTTCTTGTAGGAGGCTAATTCTTCAGGAGTGACCTTCTCTTTGTCGATTTCATTTAGTTCCTTCTCAAGGACATACTCCTTGTTCTCGAAACGAAGGTTCATCTTTATGTTGCGCATCCAGTCATTATAGTTGGTACCATCTGATGTCACCTTTAAGCAGATCGACAACAACGAGAAGTTATGGTGGTTGGAGGAGGAGGAAGCAGAAGCATCAGCTGGAGTAGACATCTATAAAAGAATGTAGTTTTAGTTAGACAAGAATAATCCTTAATATAGTAACCCAAAATAAAATATTAAGGCTAGGATCTAACTATATAATTCACAACTTAGAAAAGGGATGTCGTAATCTAATTGTAAATTTTATAAAGGTAGGTAAATGACGATTTACCAATTCCACTAGAAGGGAAATGAAATTAAATAAAATTCCTAGGTCTTTTGAGATTCATTGAAGTTATTGAATGGCATGTTTAATCTCTATTATGCTCTTCTGTTTGTGACTGGGATACCGAGAATCACAAACAAGATATGAATAACCATGCAAATATGCTTGGTAACCTCATTTTCATTTATCATCCCAATTGATGTGATGGTAAACCACACACGCTCCTTCAACAATGATAATATATGAGATACCTATAACTCTTTATTAGTCCCTATTAGTGTGTTGGTTAACCACACACGCTCCACTAACGACTTATAAAGTGTAATGTGCAATTCCATGGGTTAGTATACTAATTCACATTTTTCCTAAAGTAACTAGATATGAGATTTTAAATAAAAAAAGGTTCTAGTACTTTTAAATAGCCTTATACTTTTAATGAGATCTAGTTGTCCTATCAAATATGTTTTGCTAACGACCCTCCACTAATCAAGGAAGCGGTGGGTGAGAGTGGACACTCATTCAACTACCATTTTATATACAGTTTCCTTATACCCCCTTATAGACTAGCTTCGTGAATGAGGCATACTAGCGATTTGACTGACTGATTCTTATACCTATAATATATTAACAATTAATAATATATATAAGGTGAATTTTAAACTTTTCAATATACTAGGTTTATTTAATTTTTTAAATTTCAAAAATTAATAATCAATTAATTTAAATTTAAAATAAACCAAAAATTTGATTTAATATTTATCTATTAATTAACAATTAATTTAAACATTAAATAAAATAAGGATTAACTAATTAAATTAATCAAATAATCTAATCCTAATCCTAACCCTAACCCTCTAATTTTCGAAAATTAGGGTGTAGGAGTTATCCAATTTTATAATTATCCCTTTTAATCAAATTAAACTAAAAGTTATCTAAAATAAGAAACCCTAACAAACTAGCAATTTTTGAAAACTTGGGGAGGAAGGCTAGGGTTTCAAAACCCTAACCCTAATTTTGAAATCCAAGGGGAAGGGGCTAGGGTTTCGAAAAACCCTAACCCTAGTCGAAATTGTTGGCCTTTTAGGGTTTAATTTCTACAAACCCTAATTGATCAAATTCAAAAATTATAGCATGTTCAATTGAAAACAAACCAAACGCTCTGATACCACTGATAGGATTTAGGTCAAACAAATAAACTTAAAACCCTTATGTTCACATGCAACCTAAGGATCTATGTTTTCACTATTGAACCTATAACTAAGAACATCAAATAAGAAACCCTAGGTATATTTCGAAAATCATAATAGGGTTTAGTTTTACATACCTTGTTGTTATTATAGTAAATAACAAGAATCCTTGACTTGTAGATCTTTTGGAAGCAAGCACCACAATTATCGTGCCTCTAATAGCTCACACCCAAACTAGAAAGAAGGAAGACTATAGAGATATGAGAGGAGAGGGGAGAATTTTGAAATATGTTTTGTAGCAAAAAAGACATGATCGGGTCAAAAAGGAAGCATACAAGGACCTGGAAGCAGGAAAACGGGAGATAAATCAAAAATAAGACAAAGAAGGATGTTGTTGGACAGCTTGACCCCTCGTCATTGTTTTGTCAATATCTCATGACTCGTAACTCCGATTAACGAGATTCAAAAGGTTCTGAAAACTAGATACAATTTCGCACTAATTTCATATTTTAAGAAAAGTATGATTCCTAACAACCATGGAGTGGTGATCACCACCACGACGTGGGGAATGGAAACTTCGCGATTCTTGACACTGACTTAGAGAATATGGGATTTCTATGACGACCACGACGTGGTGGTGTCCAACCACGCCGTGGTGATGCTGAAACCTATAATAGAGTCGAAATTAGCCCTAATGATAGACCTTCAAGCCTAGATCGATTCCTACGATTATAAACCCCCAAGAAGCGGTTTTGAGGGTCTAGAAGGCGGTCGGAATGCCGTTAAGATGACACGAGTGAAGATCTGAAGGATTGGAGAGCGGATTCATGCCAGAAATCATTATGTTCGTTGTTCTGACCACGATTAGCTTTCCAATATGATTTTTTATGCATTTACTTTCTGATTTGGGTG